TTCCCTAAATAACGCGAGTTTTTGCTTTTAAAGTATCAATCATTTGAATTTCTAACAAATTAATAATTACTGTATACATTATTATATTCATAAAATAACAATATACAATACGAGTGTAAATAATCAACGGCCTACATTCTTCATGTGCGATTTCAACGTCAAAAAGCTTGCAAACATTCATAATTTCGCCGGTTAATAGAAAAAGATTAATCCGATCCCGAGACTCCAAACAGATCCCCATGCAATAACTATAATTAATAATTAGCAATCATTTCAGCGAGGGTCAAGTTGCATTGAACCTTTTACTTAGTTTTGGTTTTCCTTTATGGGAGTGGCATTATACCCCTTTCTGGGATCCCTTCCCCCTTCAGATTAATGTCATTAATATGGGGAAGATGATATCCATAGATCAAACGGTAGTTAGTAGCAAATCAAACCCAAATTCAGATGAAATGAAACAGCCTCATCATTACCATTTAGTGTTTTCAATATTAGATGGGTTTGGTTCCCTCATCAGTTCCCCAAAACCAAAAGCATCCAATCAATCTTTTTCTTCTTATATATATATATATTTTGGACTTGTTTCCCCTCTTCCTTTTTTTGCTCTCACAGCGTTCAAACAGAAATCAAATGTCAAACCGTTAATTAATTATGATGTTGCTATAGCAGCTACTTTTTCCCGATTATTTTATCCATAATTTTCTTGAGTTGTGAAATATGGAGGAAAAGAATTGATTTTAGGGACTTTTTTTTTACTAAACTGAGGCTTTGAAATTAACTTGTTGTCTACTTTAATGTTACTTAATAACATGCTAGTAAGTAAGAGACTTTTTATTTACATATTTTTACTTGTGTTATTACCTTATATACAGCGTATGCATGATGAATATTCAGCGTAAAATTTACGTGGAATTCTGCCTTGCAAATTTGTACTTGATTGAATATAAGAAAAAGTACTCGATTGGATGATAGGGTGATTATTATCTGGAAACATGGAAACTTTATTATTTTGTTTTTACCCATAAATAATATATGCTCTAATTTAACTAAAATGAAGTTCACGTGCAATGGGGAAAAACAAGGCTAAAGAAAAAATCTGTCACGTGCCCGACATGCAACAGCAACCTCCTTCCACAAAGTCATTCTTTTATTAAATGAAAACCATACTCACCTAAATGATTTAACTTCTGTTAAATGACGAAGTACATGTTAAAGTGTACAGTGCATTTATAATAATAATTGATTAGGAAATAAAATGTCAAGGTTATAATAATTATTTTTTTGACAAGAGGTTATAATTAATTTTAGAAATTAATAGTTATGTGTATATATATTTTATTTTTATCATAATTAATCTTACTTATTTAGTTTTTCTCATTGATTTGTGGTTATAAGCTTATTATATTTTCAAAAGTACAATGCTCATTTTCATCCAGCATTGACAATAGTGAGTACATATAAGAGGAAAATGCATAAAAGTAAAGAACAAATGCAAAAAGGTATAAAAGGCAAAGATAGAGCACAAAGGAAACATGAAAGACTTGGGACCAGAGAAAAAATGCAAAAAAGTATAGAACGAATGCAAAATAAAAAATAAAAAATGTAGAGATGAAGCACAAAGGGAAACACAATCAAGTGGCAGAATTTCTACTAATATTTTGAATGAATGTACAAAACTTGAAAACCAACAAAATTTCCCTCTCACATTTCTCTTAATTTGTAGCAAAACAAGATATCCTTAATTGTAGAAGAAAAACTCAAAATTAACTTTCTCTCACATAGAGACTCTCGTAATAAACACGCTAAAAAAAATAGTATATGTAAATAGCGAATAAAAATTGAACTTTGAACGACGAAGAAGTGCATGATACTAGTAATCAATAATGTGCGTCTGTGTTCAAATATTAATAATAGTTAAAATTCTAGATTAACATTTATCGGAAATTATCTTTATTTTGGTTCTAAATTCGTAGTTTTAGTATTTGACTATATCAATTTTTCAATCAAGATAAAGGAGAAAAGGATGCATAAAACAATACGTTCACCGTTGATCTTGAATATCGACCTTTATGTCTCATAATTTGGACCTTATTATATATATTGTTCTGGATATTCAATGTCTATCTATTTTAAATTTAAACACTGGATCTAATAACAATTATACATTGACTGTAAATAAATTTAAAAATTAATGATAAGAGGTTAAAAATGTCTCCCATGTAGAATTAAAAAATAACTATTAAATATATTAAACAAGATAAATAGACGAATATATATACAGAAAATGCTTTCATCTCAACAATTTATCTATTTAAATAATATATACAGCAATTATTTTGAATCCCATATTGGTGATGGTTTTTTTTCCCTCATCTTAGAATTCACTATATTATATATTCTAGTTTTGATATTAAAAAAAAAAAAAAAAAACCTGCTGCTGCTTCTTGGTTTAAAAATTAAGGCTTGGGCCTGGCCCCCCACACCCATGAGTGAGCTCAGCACGTGACTTACCCATTTCCTTCTTTATTATTATTTTTAATTATACGGGAGGCCCACCTTTCGCCCAATTATAAATTTCACTTTCTTGGTTCAACAGCTACGTACCACAAATAATATTCACAGAATCACATGGGACTTCAAGTCATGGGAGCGGAGAGATCTCAATTTGAGTTATTCTCATCTTCTTCAAACATTATTTTAGTAATCTTCTATTCTTATATATATATGCAATGGTTTCCCATCCACATTTCTATGTTATCTTATGACTAGTTTGGGTTTTCTAAAACACATTTTGTATTAATTAAAAATTATTAAAAATTACAAAATCTATTAAAAATATATATATATATATATATATATAAGACTTACAATTCTTTTGTAATTTGTAACAAATTTTAAGTGATACAAAATAATGTTTTAAAAATTGAGTTTCTAACATAAAATGAATTCAAACTTTAATGGAAAGATAGAGCAAGTATTTGACATTTGGAGTAAAAAGGTAAGAAAAATAAGAGTGAAAAGAATAGCACAGAAAAGGTAATATTTTGAGAAAAAGGCGGGATTGTACAGTAGAATCTGAGTGGTGGCATGGCATGTACATATGGCCGGATCAGCAACAATTGAGGCTATGGAGTGAAAATATATGTATAGAAAGAATTAAATTGTGCAATAATTTATAAATAATTAATAGCAGTAATAATTGAATTTGAATGTTATGTTTGTAGGGTTGTAATAAATAATGAAAATCCAGAAAAGAGTATAGGATATATTACCCCCACAGGCCACAGGCCACAGCCTAGAAATAAAAGGTAGAGTGTGTTTGCCCACAAAATTTACTCTTTTTATCTGACTCACCTCACATGACTGTCCTGCAAGACTAAGTAACCAAGGAATCTGACAAAATTAATTAATAAGTAAATAAATAAAAGGTTTGTCTGAGTCATCACTAGTGCAGTACTGCAAACTCCATTAAGCAAAAAAAATCAGCCCTTTTTCTCTCCCACTTCCCAACTCTCAATTCTCTTTCTAAAAGCCAAACCACACACTCTCACTCTCTCTCACTGGCTCTCCCAACCATGGAAGCTTTCACTTTGCTCAAATACTGGAGAGGAGCCGGAGCTCTCGGACTCCCACCTTCCTCCGACAATCCCGCTTCACGCGCCGCCGCCACCACCACCACCACCACCACCATCCTCACCGCCGTCGACAACGAAACCGACGACGAAAACGACGACTTCTTCGACCTAGAGTTCACAGTACCCGAGGATTCGGAAAACGCCAGCCGAAGCGAAGAGCAAGAAGAAGAAGAAGAAGAAGAAGAAGAGGAAGAAGAAGAATTTAAGTTGACGCTTTCCCCTTCGAGCAACGATCCGAACCTCTCGGAAGCTAACTCGAAGCCTCAGTTCACGGCCTCCCTCTTGAAATCGGCGACCAAGTTCCGCGTGTTCATGTTGGGCCTGAAGAAGCCGAAGCCCAGCGAGGCGGAGGCCCAGAAAGAGAAGAAGCTGTTCACAGTGAAATTCAAAGTGGAGGAAGTCCCCATCGTCTCCCTCTTCAGCTCCAAACCCAACAAAACACACAAACACGCCTCCGAGGACCCACCTTCCGAAGACAAACAACGCTTCTCCAAGGAAGTAATGCAAAAGTACTTCAAAATCGTCAAGCCTCTCTACATCAGAGTCTCGCGCCGCTACGCCGATAAACTCAACTTAGCCTCCGCCGGAAAACCACCCACGCCCCAACCCCAACCTCAACCCGCCGTCAAGAACATCAACACTGCTCAAAAACTGCCCGCCGGACTTAGCGTTGTGTGCAAGCATCTGGGGAAAAGCCGCTCGGCGTCCTCGGCGGCGGTGGCGGCTGCTCCTGCGGCGGCGCCGGCGGTGTCTTCCAAACGACGCGATGATTCGCTGTTGCAGCAACAGGATGGGATTCAAGGCGCCATCTTACACTGCAAGAGATCCTTCAATGCCTCCAGAGCTGGTATTACTTTTCAACTTTATCGTCATTGAATGGTTCTAGTTAATTATAATAACTTGGGTTTTGTTGAAACAGAGTGCGAATCTTCCCAGCTACCGCGTTGTGTGAGCCAGAGCCATCCATCCATGAATGAACAGCGCCTTTCAACATAGAAAAATTAAATATTAATTTCGCAGTGTCAGTGTGTAAAAAGTAAAATGTTTAATTACTTAGATTAGATGATTTTACACTAGAAGGAAGGAGGTAAAAATAGTAAAAGTAGGGTCGTGGGTGGGTCAGATGAATGAAGCTCGTCACTCGTCACTCATCACTCATCACTCATCACTCATCACTCATCACTCATCAGGCATTAGCTTAGTGAATAGTGACTCCATTTTCTTCCTTGGTAGTGTAAAGTGTAAACTCGTGGAAAGCTCTTTCCGATAGAGCCAAAGAAGAATCAGAGCTTTTATGTGTACGTTTGTTACTCTTGGACGTATCTGTATGTAATGTAGCTACTAGCTAGCCAAGCCAGATCAAATACCTCCCTGATCCCAGCTTGCTTTTCATATTTTCGCTATTTAATTTAAAAGGTGGTTCGATCATGAATCTAATGTTAAATAATTGGATATTTTAAACCTGGTCTAGTGGTCAAGGCCCTGGTAGAAAGATTGGTTCAACGAATAATTATTGCCGTTGAAACTTTAAATAATAGGAAGCATCATAGTTACTCGAGAGGAGGGAAAAATGCGGTCAGAGAAGTGGGAAAGAGAGGGACATGAGCAGTGAAAGGTAGATTTTCTTTTGGGGGATGGGGGGAAAAGAGTATTTGACCGAGAAAAGAGGGTGGAAATGGAATTTTGCATAGGAGTGTGAAATGTGAATGCGAGAAAGAGTTCTCACTGCAATCACATGTGTTTTGATGGCTAGCAGGTATCGGAATTGGCGAAACTGTGTCTGTTTTATTAATTTTGGTGCACCGATTCGTGTGTGTCGGGACATAACGTCGTATATTCAATTTGTCTCTTTGTGCCACATTTGGATTTTGGACCCCAAGATACCCTTACTAAGGGCACTCGCCACGTCGTCCTAAAAGTTAGATGGGAACCCCCATCCACCATCCTCAGCCCAATGGGCCCTACACAGTTTCATATGTGTCGATCATCATGTTCGTTTCTAGGGCCCGTTATTTGGACCCACTTCCAAACCCAGTTCCTTAAATCTTTCCCACCGCTTGCACATGTCATCACATTAAACTTTGTCGTCATTTCGGTTTTAGAAGGGGACAACTTAATAATATAATCCAGGACTAGTTACTTGGTAGAGTTTCGAGATGAGGACAAATTTAAGTGTAATTCGGTTTTGACTGTTGAATTGCTTATGTTTCCCGTTTCTAGGATTGATAACTACTCGTGATTTAACACATCTTGTATTTTCCTGGATCATGCGTGCTTACGATTGAAACTTGCTACAAAATGTTTCCTATTATGAAGAAGAACCTATTCAATATTACATGCACGCTGTATGAAGGATGGGATAGATCATACTCGTCCAATAGTTATTCATGAAAATATTGACAATGACAAACTTGAGATCTCTAGGTCTTGAGCAAAGTAACTGCTCAAGCTTGAGATCTCTAGGATGCAATTGTGATTAATAGATGATATTTATATCCCAAGTAAAATTACGTTGTTGCTGCGTTAACATATAGTAATATTATCTCAGATGCATCATTTATACTTTAGTGAATATCAATTAGATAACAATTCTATCTCAAATATTTCATTTAAAAATATTTTAAAGTTTTAGGTCTAGGGTTTAAAAAACGTTATTAACATTCATATTGTCAAGAACCTCTTAATTTTATGACAAATACCATACTTAATACTGTTTAGAGGCATATTTGAACTCTCCATGGCATTCTCATGTCTCACTACAGGCAAAATATGCACATTTTTCATGGAACAAAAGAACCATCAAGTTGGATCATAAATTAGGAGCTTTCTAATACATAAGATCTTTATAAAAAGTAGGTGTATAGCACACTTGCATCTATGTAGGATACTAATAATTAGAAGATTGTTAGAAACTAATTTTTGAAGAAAAAGTTTATTTCATTCAAAACTAAATAAATCCTCAATTTATAAAGGAAGAGGTACATTACAGATAAAGTTTTAAACACGTCTTGAGAATAATACTTCACTTAACCTTATTGACAATAGTACACATAATAATTTCTCGTAGTGTTTGGTATGATAATGACATCTCACCTAACCTTATCTATAATAATTTCACATGATGTCTAATGACATCTTATCTAAAACAGTAATTTTAAGTACAATGATTAAGATTCTTGCATGTTTTAGAGACACGACTATCAAAGTTGATGCCTGAATTTGATCTCGTTGAAAAGAAAGAGATGTCAAATATACCTCTATTGATACATGAGGAAACAATGGAATAAAAATTTAGGCCAAAATATTATAATAAAATTGTTTGTTGTTGGTTGGTAACCAACCACTTTGGTCACAGCTCAAGAGGATGACATGCTCTCTCACTATATAAAAATAATTGTGTTTGTGAGGAAGGGGAGGTAGGCAACTTTGACAATGAGAGATTTGAAGCATCTGTCTTCGTGGGAATCATCTTATTACTTGTCTAAAAGAATTTGAAAGATGATCTAAACTTACAATATGATAGATAAAATACTTTGATAAATTCTAGAAAGATCTTTTTCACGATAATATTATATATCTAGAGAAGAAATTATAAATAGAATATTCAACACTTTAAAGTGTTTTGAATATAGGCTATTTCTTGTCGTCAAATATATCTTATATCAAAATAAAAAATCTTGTAATTGAAATTGTTACTTATTTAAATTGAGCTCTTTATGTCTCTATGTATAATACTAAATTTAGTAAATATTTAATAAATATACAACTTTAATTATAATAGTTTTCTTCTTTGATAAGTATATTATTGATACAAAGTACTAATTTTCCTTTCAATGAATATAATTGATTTTAAAAAAAAAAATTAGTCAACTTTTATTTTATTGCAAAGTCGATTCTTAATAAGTTTTAATCAAGGACTGTTATAACTAATGTTAAGTCACCACTGTGCATAAATTTCCACATAATCGGATATAATAAGCGATTAAGAACAAATGAGAAAGAAATGGTTGTTCAAATGCTAAAAACATTTAGTTTATAATGAGTATCTATATAGTGACCGACAAAGCCATATCATAATTCAAAATGGACTAAATCTAATCAATTTTAAAAAAATGAAACTAGGAAGTAAATTATTCTAATAAAAAAAATATCAATAAATATTAATAATTTGTGAGTTGTGTTAGAAAAATTAAAATAAATCTATCTTAAAATGACAAAGTAAATCTAATAAAAGTTAATCTTAAATAATATATGATAAATCTAATACTTTATTCTAATTTATAATAAAATTATTAAATAATATATTTTACACTATTTTTATAAAAAAATGACGTTAGGTAATAACAAAAAATACAATAAATTAATCCATTTCATATCAATAAGGGTTAAAATAAATGTAATAAAGATATATATATGCACTCACAAGACTAGACGCTGAATTATTGAAGGAAAAAAAGGGGGAAGAATGAAAAACTTGTAAAGAAAAAAATGGAGATAAATGAAAAAAAAATAATAATAAAGATAACTATATGATAAATTAAAAACTCGTAACACTAGAAGGTGAAGGTCTATAAAGTACTTCGAAAGATCCAATTAATAATTAAAAAGAAATATTTAATTAAAACAAATAGAATTAACAAAAAAAGTTAAAATTTGGTGATAGGATTTTTTTCTTCTTACACAACTTCTCCACAAACTGTTTAAATGTAGCGATTTTTTTTATTTTAGTTTATCTTGCAATTTAACTTTCTCTTTCTAGTGCATATCAACCTTTTTTCTTTTTACAGGTTTTATACTTCTATTGGCCCATTGGGCTTCAACTGTTCCTTCCATTACCTATTTTCTTCCGTGTTCTTCTTTCTATTGTTCTAATTTTATCGAATCGAAGAAAAAAAATGGGTAAATTATTTCATTGTTCTCTTTATCTTTTCGATTTTTCGCGCGTGTACATCTATTCCACTTTGTCAATCTTGATTTCATGTTTGTACAATTTCTTTTTCTGTTTTCAGATTTTCGACCAGATTTTTAAAATTGAAAAGTGCTTTCTTTTCATTTTGCTACGAAAGATGAAGTGGAAGAAAATTGCTTTTCAGTATTGGAATTTGCACACAACCCACAAACTCGTTCCCTAGTCATTTATTGGACAGAATCCACAGTTTCTTCTGAACTAAGCAATAACAAACAGAGAACATTTTTTTTCTTTTTTTAATGCAAATGCCTTTTCGAGTATATCCAAACAGGCAAATTAACAAACAATGGGGAAAATTATTCTTAGGAATCAAAATTTGTAAGAATAAATTCGGGAGATAGATTTAACACAACAATATCAACAAGAAACATAAATAGGTGAGGAAATTTTGGATTTGTATGAGTCACTGTAAAGGCCTAATGCAAAATGCATGACAGGTGTTAGAACACACACATGTCCATTCTCGAGAGTGGATCTCATGTCAATGTTAAGCATGGACTAACAGGATGCCCCATCACATTCTTCTATAAATACACCATACAAATGCTTATCTCAGCTTTCTTTCTCCAATTCTATTACTGAAACTTGGTTAAAGTTCTTACTTGCTTCAGCGTTATAATGTTTATAGCAAGCCACACCAACGATTGATCCACCACCATAAACATTGCTAAGTGCTAGCCAAGATCATCTCAATCACTCTCAACATGCTAGTACCACCAACATTATCACTTCACTTCTGAAAAAATATTAATCCAAGAAAATTTTCATGAATTACAAACTTCGTAACAAGAATATTTAATACACTAGTAAATGTATCTGTGGAATTTTCGTGCGGATTATGTTGCGGTGAAATCTCTATGAAATCCAAAAATTAAGAAACCAAAATATTTCAATTTTCTTGAATATAGTAATATATAAATGCAATAAAATTTTGTTAATTTTAAGATATTTATTAGCATAAGAGTGTTATATAAAAAAAATAATTAAAAGATTAATTTTCATATACTATTAGATAAAATATTCTTATACCGTCAATTAATTATAAATTAACTTTTAAAATAATTATTTAAAAAACTAACTATCAACAGCAAGGCACACAAGAAAAAAATCTGCTGCTTGTATATATGAACTATGAAACACCAATTAACATGATAAAATAAATATATTGGAGTTGAATCATAAAGACATAATGTAATATATTTCTTTACCAATATTAAATTTTACTTGAACGATCATTAAAGACCTAAATTTTTTTCAATAATAGTTAACTAATTACAGTATGATTTTGAAACAATAACCTTATTGGTATTACCTGCATTAGCATTGGAAATGGTGAATGGAGTAGGAGGTTATGTTGAGATTTATAATACAAGCCATGAGTATGGTCTTTTTCTTGTTTACGATGTTGAGGACGTGCACCGTACCACTTAGTTTTGCGTAGCTTGTGAGTTTGAGCATGCCTGAAGTGATATCATTGGTTAGATTTGCATTGGCCGATTTGGTGAACCTCATGTGTAGCTTGAAATTGAATTCCTTGGTTTGTCTAGGCTCCACTGTGGCACCTTCCAATAATTGGGAAGCACCAACAGTGGAAGCCCCATAGAGCACACTCACTCTACTGTCCCCGTTATAGAAAGGACCGAAATTTGGGTTCGTAAGGGTCACGCGAGCGATCATGGTGACATCAAAGGAATGATTATAGTGATGATGATCAGTGTTGTGCCTCGACAACCTGGCTGATTTCAATTCAATATCGGGATCTTGGACGCGCAACACGATGGATGCAAAAACAAACCAAACGAAGAAAAGGGTAACAAAGGAAGCCAAAGTGTAGACCAAACATTTGCTGCTTTGTTTTTCTTGTTTGCGTGATGGGAACATGGAGATCAATTCCTCCGTTGTTATCTCGCATGCATGTGCTTCTGGACTAGACACCGACTTTCCCATGTTTTTCTTCATTTCTTTTCTTCTCTCACAAACTCAAACTTTAAACTTTTGCCTCGCCCTCTTTGGCTGATACATGCCCCTATATATAGGCACATCTAATTACTTCATTATTAAGTTTATTTAAATTTATTTTATTTTATATTTTATATTAAATTTTAATAATATATATAATATCAATAAATTTAAAATTTTTAATACATAAATTTTAATAATAACACTGATAAATTTTTTAATAATTTATAAATTAAAATTTTAATTTAATAATTGAATAATTAAAATGCTCACGTATATATAAAACAAATCTATTAAATAAAATCCTGTATATTAAATTACAAATATTTAGTAAAATTATATATTGAAGTAACAAAAATAAATATAAAATAGAGAGAATAAATATATTTGGTTAAAAACCTAATTTGATCCTTTATAATATTTTTTTGTTTCAATTTAGTCCCACTTTAATTTTTTGTTTCAATTTGGTCCCCAATAATTTAAATTATTGTAATTTGGGACTTCCGTCCAAATGATTTAAACGGAGTTAACTGTTGGCCACAAACGGTCGATGATTATAGTTCACAGTTGTGAATCGTGCAAGGAAAAAGACCCAAGATACAAAGTATTTCAAACACTAGATTTGGTAATATTGTCAATGAGGATTGATAACTTCAATTACTAAACATTTGGGCTATACAGTGTATCATTAAGGACAACTGCAGTGTTGTTGGGGTTACTCGAAAAGATTCTCTCGAGACCTGCTCGGAACGAAAGTACGCAAGCCATATAGACACATAAAGGATAAGTATGACCAAATGCATATAGGTATTCGATGGTAAGTCGAGAGGTTAACAGAGGGTACCTGAGGAATGTGGGAACAATTATACCTAGGTGGCTACTAAAACGAGTACATTGAAGAAATAAAAAAAAATCACGTGGGATAAAACGGTTATAAAAGTTACATTCAAACCACGTAATGGGAATAATGGATAGCAGTTACGAGCCCACGACGTACACATATAATGTTAACCGTTCTCGATTTAAGCCACGAAATGGAGGTAGTGGATAGCAATTATGAGCACACAACGTACTAACCGCTCTCGGCTAACTCTATAAGTATGAGAAACACATCCATTCACAGGGTCGGAAAAATCATACTTGCACTCTACAAGCACTCACCGCCTGCGCATATGGCTTTCGTGCATGGAATTGCTGGGTATGACCACTTCTTAGCCACATTTTCTTTCTTTTCCTAGGATTAGTGTAGTTAGTTTCAATTCGTAATTAGTTTAATTATGATATTGTAAGTTTGATCATTATGCGAATTAGACAATGATTTGTATTGTCGATGTATTTATTATTCATTCTGTTCACTTAAGTATCTACATACATGCAAATTATTGTTTGATCATCATTCATGAAAATCTGGAAACAAACATTTATTAATCAGTTCTGTCTCATTTATTTCCATTCTTAAGAAAGTTTAACAACTTTACTGTAAAATACCTAAATTGAAACGGTTCGTGCTAGTTCAAATAAAAAGAACTCACAAACAAATTCCACCACAAACAAGTGTATCACTAAAGACAATGGTAGCAGGTTTTATTTTATTGTTAGTCAAACTGGAGTGAATCACTTACTACCAAATTGATACTATACAGTCAAGGATGAAATGAAACGGTGTTTCTCCTTGAAGTCATTGACGATGTACCCCAACAATAACAACCTATTCTTGAGGAGATACAACCTGAATTTTTGTGGTTTAGGGTTTCCCTTCAGCGTTACCTAGATGATTTCCTTTCTCAGTAATTTCTTTGAACTTTTTTAGTATATGTTATGTTCTGAATTTTTGTTTTCAGTTTCTGAACTATATTTCTGTCTTTGAATTTATGATATGTCATGAATTTTTATTTTCAATTTTTGAATCACATTGCGGCATTGTTGTCAACGGGCCGTTCTGAATCCAGAACGACCCTTTCTAACACCAGAACGACCCGTTCTGCTACATTCATTGTGTGTTAAATTTGCATTTGGAATGACCCGTTCTAGTTGCAAAATTAACGCATAACATGTGCAAGTAGAATGGACCGTTCTGGTTCCAGGTGTATTCATGAAATTTGGCATATGCATTTACATGGCATCCACCTGGCATCCACGTGGTCAACAGTTAACTCCGTTTAAATCATTTGGACGGAAGTCCCAAATTGCAATAATTTAAATTATTGGGGACCAAATTAAAACAAAAAATTAAAATAGGACTAAATTAAAACAAAAAATTAAAATAAGACTAAATTAAAAAAATATATATTATAAGGAACAAATTATGTTTTTAACCAACATGTTTATATGATGTTGTTGGAGGCTAGAAAGTATGTTTTAAACTCAACTCCCAAATTTTTTCATTGCATTATTTTTTTTTCCTGACACATAGGCAAAATCTAACACCTAATAAAGCAACCCTGACGCTTTACGTCTACTTTATACTTTTTTTATTATTTCTTTTTCTTTTTCTCTCTTTCACTCATTTTATTTGCATATCTCTTTTTCATTCCCAAATTAAAAATAGTAATAAAAATAACAATCAAGAAGAAATTTTTATTTTTTTGAAGAAAAATAAAATTCTTAAATATTATGAGGTTTAAGTCATTTTATTTTTTTTCATTTTGAAACAAAAAGTCACAAAAACTGCATTTTGATATCTAAATTTTGGTTGAAGAATAACTAATCAGAATCGGAAAAACGTGTTTAGATTATGGTTGCAACTTTTAGATCATAATTTTGTATAAAAGTTGAAAGGAATATGCCAAAAACATGATTTGGAAATTTCCAAATCAATTCCAAACACATACAAATTACCTGGATTGTATGCTTGTAGATACTTTAGTGTGTGAATCATTAAAGCCGATCTAATAATGAGAATTAAAATACTATGCGCAGGTATTAAATTTGAAGTCTTGTTGTTTTTAATTTTTACGGATAAAAAAAATACTCATGTGTGATTTAGTGTATGATTAATTCATTTCACGTAAGATTTGAATGAACTAAAATATTTCAAATTTACGGGAAGAGTCAATAAAAGAGTACGTAGTTGCATAATTAAAACAAATTTTTTGAAAAAGCTTTATATTGTACAACAAAAAAAGGTAAAGAATTAAGGAATCGATAATATTAACATTTACCTCTTTAATTTTGTCTTATTGATTAGCACAGAATTTGGATGTATTGAATAACTCACCTTTTTTGTTTATGGGGTACGCTTTTAATGTCTTGTGATAGAAGTAATAACTAATAAATTAAAGGTTTCACATTATACATAATCGCTTCTGATAGAAGTAATAATATCTTTTCATTTTTCCTCTTTCCAGTATATTGATTCGCTACTAAGTTCTAAAACCAAAACACAGTACGTTAGATTCAACTAGTAGCAAGCTTTTATATATATAAAAGTGGTGACTGGTGACACAGAAAGTTAAAGATCCATCTTTGCTCCTTATAATACATGGGTTGTCTTCTCGTCAGCTACATGGAAGAGTGAAACTCTATCTTATATATATGACCCTACGTACTGTTTTTAGATTTTTCTGTTATCGCGTTAGCAGTTTATTATAATTTGCCTCAAAAGTTGTTTACAATTTGTCCCACTCTTAAATGTATTTGTAGTAGCTAGCTAGGGTGAACACAAATTGTTGTTGAGGCGATTTTCAGTTGTCAAAATATGGTAGCTTGACTCAAACTGTGATACGGCAGAGAAAAAGATTTTACTGGCGTTCATCAATTCATCACAAAAGAAGATTTTCTGTGGTAATCATATTTAAGGACTTCAATGCTAAAGACAGCGATATAATTAGTAGTCTTATTTAGTCGATATAAACTTAGTCTTATTTAGATAATGTCCCAATCTAGATTTTGGAGAAATGAGAATAAACAATTAATCACCCTTAGAAATAATTAAGAGTTTTATATATATATAAATGGAATTGCAACGTGTTAGGAGTCTGTAAAATATAGGTTTGGTAGGGAAAAAAGAGAACTTACTTTGAATACTTCAAACTTAGCTCAATCCCTTTAAAAAAAATAGGAAGGCTTTTTTCGTATAGGGAACAAAACTGACCAACACTAAAGATTCCACTCCAATTCACAATCCAGTTACAAAATGTTCCTTAAAGGGCCTAAGCACAAATATATCCGATGACCTAAAAGGGCTCAAGAGCCTATGTGCCATATTTGTGTACTTTTATTTTAAAACATGCATAATCATACTATATCTACATGCAAATCTACATAGTTTTCATAACATTAAAAAAACTAGTTTGCCGTGAGAGAAAATAAAAATTTTATATATATAACCCCCACACTCACCAAGGGAGGTTGGAGGAGGGTAACGACACAAAGATATGCAATGTTTGAGGTTAAATCGGAACTTCGACACATAAAGAAATGCAATGTATTAAAGCTAATTTTGTAAATAAGGCATAATTAATTTACATTGAAAAAATTTGAAAACGTTATGTTTCTATAGTTCTTATTTAATTGCTTGTCACTTGTACATAAACAGAATTATTTGACATAACTTGAAGGATTTTGGCTTAAGATGTGGAACGCTAGTTGTCACGAAATATATAAGTAAAAGTCTATACATTTAAATTGAATACAATAATTGACTGGTACTGGTTTAATGAATTGTAACAAAATTCTAATCGCTTTATTATTTTGTTTACCTTACACTTCAAGTTAATTCTATTATACTTGAACTAACACGTATATAATTTATCTTAACTCATTCCATAAATACTCTAACCCCAAGTGAACCTTAATTGTTATACACCTTTGTAAAAAAAATGATTGTTACATTTAATTTTTTTTTTTAAAATGTACTCTTATTATTGACATATCCTACTATAAGATTAATCTATAACAAATTAAAAAATGCTCTAATTTAATTACTTTAAAAATGTTAAATACTTTATACGATTAATGTATATAATAATTTATTTAAAGATAGATGAAGTAAAAGTTCATGTGTCCGTGTATACTCCTAAAAAAAAATGGTGTCTACATATACTACTACAAGTTTAATGGAGGGAAAAAAACATGTAAATGGGTTATTTTACTCCAAAAATAAGTGTTGTGTTCTAATTATGATATAAAACAAACGTGGAAAGTTTCTTTTGTAGATTTTACTAATAACGATTAAAATTAACAATTTATATACTTTTTATTTCTCTCTTTGTTTTCCATCAGTTACTTTCTTTCCCTGCTCTATACATTTTTTTTCTTTATATTTCTCTTTCTGGTATCTCAATATACACCCGAAAATATAATGGATATCCATGGTTAATTATATTTTTCCTATTCTATTGTTAAACTATGATTCTTCTACGCAAATAATTTAATCAAACGTTTATTTAACACAATTTATTAAATGGTTCATAAAATTTGTTGAAATAAATTTAAAATATTATACAAATCACAAATTACATTTATAAACATAATTAGACACGTCTTTAATAAACCCAAAAGTAATCCTTCAAAACACTAATTTATATCGTTGAAACCAAATTCTTTATAAAAAATGATTAAAAAAAATATATATGATACTAACATAAAATGTTGTTTCTTATTATAAAATAAAAATTTATAAAAAAAATCAGTTGTTTCTTATAGAATAAGATCGAGATAGTATTGACTAGAAACGGTACTGCGGCTCTTTAGTTATCATTAAAAGAAAAGAAAAGAAAAACAGGTTGTATGAAAGCTAAAATAAATTGAACATTATAATGTGCAACTAAATATTCGGAGAACAAAAACTATATATGTTACCAAACAAGTAGCAAAATTTATGAACGTAAAGAGAAATAAAAAGGTTGAAAAGAACAGAGAAGCAGAAGAGTTTTGTGAAGAAAAGTAGTTAATGGCATTGAATACCCTGAATTACGGAGGACGCCAAGTCGAGCTTCATATCACAAGTCATTTCCACGGTCTTTCTGACGTTCATAATCTTCAGAAGATGAACAGTGCCACTAAATTTCCCATAACTCGTGATATTCAACGACCCCGAATTAATGCCACTAAATAGACTCGCCGTAACGGACCTCACATTGACGGTAGCGTTAACTTGTTTGGTGTCTCCGTAACCCACAATGCCACCGGCGATTTTCCTCTGGCCGATCTTTCCACCGGCGTGGAGCACGATCATGTTGGTATTCTCGTAACTGAAGGAACCGTAGTTTGGGTTCTCGATGGTGAGAAAGAAGGTGACGGTGGTGTTGTAACTGTTTTGGTTCGATTTGGCTGAGGTTAATCTCACATGTGGGCTCCTGGGGCGAACTAAGATTGCAAAAACCAGAAGAAGTGCGCATAAGATGACAAAGGTAGCGAGACAGCATACGAAACATATGGCGCTTCGTCGTTCTTGGTTTATGCGCTTGTTCGGTAACATGGTGCTTCTCTCTTCGTTTCGTGATCCTGTCTTAACTATGAAACTAATAACAAAATATGTTTTGTTTTGTGCAATGAAATGTATTGGCGTTTTCAGTTATGGAAGCTGAAGGAAGGAGTTGAGAAATTTATTTTAGTATTTTGGATGTGCGTGAATGAGCAATGAAGGGTATTAGCGTGGTAGTAATATATACTGCGTGCGTTCAATGCACAAACCTGATTCTTCACTGATCTACTCCTGATTCATGTATTTATTACCTCAATTAAATATGATCTTCTCGCGTGAAAAAACAAAATACTTTCACTAATCAATTATTATATCACGCACATATATATAAATATATGATTTTAATTTTATAAAAATGTTTAATTATATTAATTAGAGAAATCATCATTAACATATATATTCTGTTTCAAATTAATATTCGTAGTTGTTTACATATATTGACATTTATTTTTGTAAAATTATAAAACTAAAGATAAATGCAATAAAAATCATAATAGTACAAATTATTACAAATTATAAATTTAACATGCATTCGAAACACTGTATTATACTAGTAAACCAATATTATAACACCAGATTGTCATCAAATATACTTTGTTGACGTTTTTAGCTTCATTATACTAGTAAACCAATATAACACCAGATTGTCATCAAATATACTTTTTATATACCAGATATTTTATTAATACATATGTTATTTTTTTTATCGTATCATATTACTTATTGTACTGTTTTTTTTTTCTTCTAAACCCTACGGCCTACACGTATCCTGAAGTTTAATATCTACCAACAAAAATTTCTTGAACGTGATCGGAGGCTAATTTAGATTATCATTTTGGGTCATTCATCATTGTTCTTCAGAAAATACTTCATTTCAGAACACAAAGGAAAAAAAAAAATCAGAAGAAGAAGAAGAAGAAATATGATGACATACGTGATAAATAATGTCCTAAAAGGTAATAATATCTAAGTTTAAAACATTAAACGTTTAAATGTATTTTTTTTATTCTTGTAATTTGAACATGTTTATTTTAATCTCTTTATCCAAATATCGATAATGAATCTATTATGTAAAACTCATATATTACGGAATTTTTTATTATTAAATATTACATTAAACTTAATTTATGTCACATAAGTATTTTAATTTGTTATTATCAATTATATAGTGATTCAAAGAAATTAATATAAGATTTTTTGAAATTATATATTAAAAAATTAATTTCAAATTTAAGAAATTAAAAATAAATTCATCTCAAAAATAAATTAATAGTGATTTATGAAAATTTAAAAATAATGATTTATTTTTAAGAAATTTTTATATAAACAGACATTAATTTGTGTTTAGTTATTAATTATAAATAAATAATTTTATTTTTTACAGAGGAATTTTTTTAAGTAATAACTCAAAGTTACTTAAAAAATGATTATTTAAAAAATTACCTAAACTTCTCTAAAATTTTAATTAAAAAGTACTTTTTTGGTAAATAAATAAATAAACGGGCTCAATAGTTTTACAAAACTCCTTTTTTTGTGCGTGTCTACTAATTCTTCTGTTTAATGTTTACTTACTAACTGAAAAATAATCAAAGGCTTATAGTTAACTTACAAAACATTAAATATATTTATTTTTCATTCGATATTTTATTAAAAAATTTAAGAATATAATTGAAGAACCTAGTTTTAGACTTTAGTGATACATCATTAATTGCTGTAAAAAAAAAAAAAAACCAACATTATTTTCCTAAAATTATATGAAAATAAATACCGTTGAAAATAATTATACTTTTAAGTACGAGAAGTATTTTAATTCTGATATAAATAGAACAAATTCCAAAGTATTTTAATTTAAACAATTATAATATTGTTTTGATAAAATTCATGAATAAATTTGTATTTATGTATTTTATAAATAATTTTACTTTGGAGAACAGGAGAAGCAGTGCCCAATTCACTTTACATTTTTATTGCAAACACAGCATTCAAATATGTTTGGATGAACAATTTTTTTTGTAAGTACAATTATTTTAAAATGAACCGATGGGAACCACTTAACATCAGCTCATTTATAATTCATGTTTTGCACCAATTTCCCTACATAGCCACTGGACAGGGAAAAATAACATACTATTAACAGACTCATGTACAGTGTATAGATCACCTCTCCTGGATAAGAAATCCAAGCAGAGGCAGCATGGTTGAAACACCTATTTCACCCTCAATATTCTAGAAAAATACTGGAATCCACTCGAAGAAAATGAAAGTTTTGTATATGTTTGTCGTCATTTATTTTTAAAAAATATTGCAAAACGATTATTTTATCAAAAATAAATTATTCACACGTCCTATTCAACCTATGTCTTCCTCCTTAGTCGGAACACTGTCTAATTCCTTTTTATGACTTTCAAAACTGTTATATACTTTGTATCGGATGTATCTGCCAATAATTTATGCGGCCCACAAGAATCAGGGGAATGTATTCGAACATAGCTGTACCACTCTGTTGCTGGAGCCTTGTATGAGCCATATCTCCTTTGCGTTGCCGCCACATGTATGATGAAATGCCCAGTCATCTTGTTGACTGGGATGTACAATGCCTGATATTTCTATACGTAAGGTTTTAGCTTATTGAACATATCTTATAATGTGGCTACGACAAGTTGTTAAAATGACGGGTTTAAGTCATAATGTTGACTCGGTACAGTTATGAAGCTCCGTCCAAATTCCCTTAGAAATGCTCCTTGTGGAATTCAAATTTTGTTTGACCTTTTTCGTTGAACTCGAAGCACAGCTTGCTTAATTCTTTGGCCAGAACCGGTGCGCCACAATAGAAAACCCCTGAGGCGAATTGAGGATGTTAGCACAAGATGAAAGCAATGTCTACAAACGTATGCTTGATGGGGATTAACTGACCTATTCGTCCATTGCAGTGCTTAGAACATATTTTAGAGAAAACCTTCTTCCAGTTAGGCCTAGCAAAATGAGTTCTCACCTGATAGTAAATTCAGAGAAGCAAATCAAGATTTAAACTGAAAAACAAACTCGGTACAGTAGACGGCAAAAGTCAAAGGCCTACCCTAGTCCCAGAAACAATATCAACTCCATTTTTTGCATGGTTGAGGGCTTGCACCATAGTAATGAGGGCGGATCTGGCATCGCCTTCCTCATATACGCTAGTTAAGTAGTTGTGCATCTCAATAACACCCTAAAGTCCATAATTAGACATTGAACATTAGCTAAAGCAAATATGACTTACTAATTTGGCAGCAGAATAAAGGAATACTAAGAATTTTTCAAGAGAAAGTCTTAACAAGATAAATATTCTATAGCAGTTAATACCCTTTGATCAAGTTCAGCAACTTCATTCATGACCCCTTTAAACCAATCGAAAGAACCTTGTTCTCTTGTTACCCAGTAGAAATAAGCATTGGTAGTTTTCAGTGTCTTCTTTCGTTTAGGAGAAATCTTATTTAAAGATAGTGAATCTGCACTCCCAGCACTAAGATCTGAACCTCTACTAGAATCAGAGACTGAATCCTGGATAGCGAGCAACCATGATTGTTATGTTCATCGTAAATAAAAACATTCGAAGAATGGTCAGTTTGACAAGGCTTATATTAAACACCATAATGTTACTTGTTGCTTTAAAACTCACCGCCAGCTCCTCCATTCTGACAATATTGTTGAGAAGATCTTTTAGAATGCTGATAAAAGGTGTTGCTCCTATCCCGAGACCGACAAGTAATAGGACATCATAGTTTCTGTAGTCTTGTGCCGGTGCACCGTAAGGTCCATCTATCCTTAGCTTTGGTAAACTGTGTCAATTATTCATACCAAGATAACAGGAATCTGAGTATAAATCATTTGTTCCGAGGACGAAGTTACAAGGCAAACAAATATGGTAGGCCCATCACGTACCATTTCTTGGTGGTTTCATCAGCCCTAAGAAGCCCGCTCTCCCCAGCTACAGGAGGCTCACAGGCCGCAGAGAATACCCTTTTGAGCTCCTGAGTCCAATCTCCCAGTTGTCGTATGTGAACACTAAGGTAGTCGTCGCCAGGGGCTGAGGTAATAGAAAACGGATGCCTGTCACACATAAATTGTATTGTTAGCTACCAGCAATCATAACAACATATGAAAGATGATACCATAACATTTCAATTCCTTTCTTTTTCGACATCTTAGAGGAGTTAAACCGTCAAAGTACTAAATTGGTTTTCTCCATTTTGTGGCCAGAATTTACATGAAGCATGAGAAATTTGCTGTGGCTACTGCATGGTATTGTTGAAAAACAAAAATTGCAACTTACCACTCAAATGGAGAAACAGCAGGACATTGCACAAACATGTATTGTCCACTCTTGTAACGAAATTGAGGCGGCTTCGACATTTGCAACGTGAGAACATTTCCGGGATAAATGGCAACCTAAATGTTTTGTCACAAAAAAAGAAAAAAAAAATCCGTGAGTTCTAGTTGCATCGTTTAGCTTATTGAAATCAGTGATGGGTCTGGTCCCAACAATTTTTATTTTTTACTTTTAGCATTGTTGACTTTGGTTATCCTTATACACGATTAGCCAACAGCAATTGCAAGCAAAACAAGTAGAATGACAAATTTATAACGAATTTGAATAGCCTCTTAGCAGCGACTAATGCTATTGTTTTATGCTCACCTTTATAATACGGACTGTATAGAAACCAGAACGGAAGAATCTAAGCGTTCTTTCTCCCGCATAAAGTAAAATTGGAACTGCAAGGTACATCCATGTCTGAAAACAGAGTTCAACGCGTCAAATAACCAATCACGACAAGAGGAAAAAAGCATATGATATTCGGATAAATCTCCTAAATAATTGAAATCCGCTACTACAAAATGCATACCGTTTGAAGGTGCCATCTGCGCTCGAGGTAAATATTTACACCATGAATGATGAGCAGGACATAGACGATAACAAACAGATGGTGTGAATACCAGAACGCATTGAAACCAGTGAGCCTATTAAACGGTCTAGGAAGCTTAATGAGATTTCTCCTGAACCATTTTGTTGCAAGAGTAAATGCTATTGCCATCAAAATCACCATCAGAATTCCAGTCACACCCTCAACCCCTTTAACGAGGTCTATGTAACTGGGTTTATGATCACCAAATACGCCACCCAAATACTTATCATAAATATCTTCTGACGCATTTACTAGTCTTGGAAAATCACAAGCAAGGTGATTCCCGACATGAAGTATAACACCAATCACTACTGCCGCAGCAATTGTCTGCAAGCACCCATAACTAAACATCATATACTTCACTAGAAACCACGTAAAATTTATTGCTGTATTTTCTGTATTGGTTTTGTAAGTGTCAAGCTTTGAAATAATATTCAATAATAAACAAAGTTTGATTTTTGATAGAGTTAATTATAGAGTTTTATACTGCAAATTAATGAACATTTACTTTATATATAACCTTTAAAATAATTATTTAAAAATCAACCGTTTATTATACATTACCACCAATGATTAGATTATAATATAAAAATACATTACCACCTATGATAGATAATAATATAAAAATATAGAGGGGGGCACTTCTATAGAAAATTTAAAGAAAGAGAATCCACGAATCTTCTTAGAAAAATAAATAACTAACATGGTAAGGAAATTTATCTATAAGCACGCCATAAATCTTGTAAATCATTCGCAAATTGCTGGCAGATAGGGGTTAGGCAGAGCAGTTCAATAATAAATGGGATCCAAAGTAAATTTTTAGAGAGAAAAATTAAATATAATAAAAGTATATGTTAGATCTTTTACTAACTTCGAGATTTTTTAATCAATATATATAATATTTTTATTGATAAATCTAAAATTTAAGATTTAGTAATTTTATCTTGGATCAGCGTTCAGGCCAGCCCCTTAAGCTTACATATTTGTCCATCCCTGCTAATAACTACGATAAAAAAAACTTCTAAAGAATTTTTTTTTATAAAAAATGTATGTATATTAAATTTAATAACAAATTAAATTTTTTATTTTCGTTAAAAAAGATATTTTTATTTGTTGATCAGATAAGAGTAAGTTATTTTTAACTTTAACCATAAAAGACTGCAAAAACAATGTCATAAAAGTGATCTTACAATATCTTATTCTATAGGCTTAAGGAGGGACAAGAGTAAACATCATTTTGAAATGTTATTGACAGCGTCCACTAACTCTTATATATTCAACATGTTTTCTGGTGGTGTTGTGTAGGGACGTGTACCTTATGAAAGTTGATGTTATCATCAAAAGGTGCAATGCAAGCCAACTTGGTGGACCTGAGCCAAGTTATGGTATTTCTGCACACGGGCAAGAGTATAAGTGCCATGTTGAACTTCAGAGTCTCAGCAGCACCTTTGGCCGTGAGTAGACAGTAACCCATGATGTGATAAGCATTTTTCCGCTTGTACTCGATGAACTTCCACGTAAACAGCCCAATCATAGTGAAAATCCACAATGCTAAAACCCAGAGTCTCCTCCAGTTTTCCTGCAAATAGTAGAGCATTCTGCGGCTCATCCTACGTATCGGACTTCTCGCCCTTAGTCCTTGTAGGTTCTGACTCAAAGCTTGACTGGTGTAGCTTAGTGCTTGGCTGTAGTTGAGATACGTGTCCTTTTGTAACAGAAGCGTCTCCAATTGCCATAGCTGCGGTAACACAACGACCATAGAAATGTCGCAAAACTATAAGAGGTTGAATCAGGTTGAATCGTATATGTAAAATATATTTCAAAAAGTCAACAATATGTTCATCATTAAAAATTCGATTCTTTCCTAGATTTTGAGCCTATTTTGATTCAAGCTTAGAAGTGTTTTTTTATTAAAAAAATATTCTTCATTTTCAAAAAAAAAAAATTATAAAAAAAAAAAAAAAAAAAACACTCTCAAAAAGCTATTTTAGCTTATATCCAAACAGTTTCATAGATCATGAGAACACAGCCCGTGCACATACGAGGTGAACAGGGTATATGCTTAACAGAGGAATGAAGTAAGGACACTGTCGTGGGAACTCAAGAATGATGAAAGATGGAACCAAGATTCCAAGAACACCACTCAGCAATACACAGGAGATATCAAATTTAATTTATCATATTTTAGAAGTGAATTACCTTTATTTTCAGCACAAAAATACTGTTTATTTCATTTTATGACACATTTCTATTTGAAACTTTATATTGAATCAAATCAACAATATTGTCTACCACGTACTTAGCTTTTCTATTATGACGTACTAAAATGTGTTGGACTTAAAATATATGCATGTGCTGTTGATAAGTTTATAGTATGTAGAGAATTCCCACCTCAATGTAGCCAAGTCTTTCAGGGTCTAACTCTTCCATGATCAGAGCTGCGTATTCTTCGGCCTGCTCTTTCAATCTGGATAACTTATTTGCTGAAGCGCTTAGCATGATGATCTGAATATCAGATGAGACACAACAACGGTTTCATACAAGTTTTAATTTGTACACCATAAAACAGGGAAGTGCACCCAAAGAATATACATGTTTCAAATTTAAAGAGTAATTATAATTATTTGATATCGTGATAATCTTTTCACAAATTTATAAATTCTAGCGTGTGGCAATCTTCTGGTGGAAAAGGTATAATTTGCCTTTGTTAGAAACCGTGTGCGAATTGTGAGTTATATTCCCATGTATATTCACCCGACTTGGACTGAAATCAGGCAAAACTACCCGTTTTCAAAAAAAAAAAAAAAAAGTGCCAATACCCAATTCGATAATACTAATTTATGGAGAAAAAAAAAACAAATCGAGAATATTAAGTTATTCAAATTTTAAAATCTTTAACAATGTCTATATACTACCCCTCTATTTCTTTTTATTTGTCAAATTTTTAAGTAAAGTTTTGTTATTAATTATTTGTTATTTTTAAAATTTTAAGATAATATTAATTATTATATTATCAATTATATTCTTCCTTCTTACCTAATTTCTAATTAATTTATACATCACAATTAATTTATATATTATAAAATAAAAACGAAAGCGGATATAATAAAAAAATATCAAAATTATTTTATAAAAAATAGAAAAATTTATACTATTATAATGTAGAGGAGGTAGTAATTATTATGTGCCGGTGCCTATAAACCGGTGGTTAAACAAATTCATGTCAAGCCATGTAATTTTACAAATCAAACACGGAACTATTGAGACGAAACAATTATTTGATGGTTTGACTGTTTGTGTTTCCTATGATATGTGCACATTTGGACGACCTAAAATAAGATGACTTAAATGACGACTCTGCCCTCACCAACCACGCTGAAAGCGCCTACTTAATAAATTATATATGGACCATCGTTATATATATTACATACACTCTTCATTGACATGTCTATTTTTTTCTCTATTATTCATACTTTATATTATCTTTATATTTATATTTTCCCCTCTTCTATCTATTTCTCTTTCTCAATGTAGATGAGCACTTGGGTGTCCACGTATATTTTTTGTTCCAAGAATTTGGCTAAGTCCGAAAAATGAGTATCATCCGTGTGACTTAAGCTGGAAATTAATTGGTCTTCAAAGATAAATTATTTTTGTATAATAAAGATACAAAAAAGATATACAATTATGAAAAAAATGTGCGATGAAAAAAATTATGATAAAAAAATATATATTTTTATAAAAAATATTGCATGAATAATATCACTTAACTTTGAATGTATACCAATAACCAACAGTAACTAATATCGTGCATTAATTACTGCTTTAGAACAATAGGAAACGTCCTGAGTAGGAAGACTGAATAATAATAATTAACAATTAATTAGTTAAATTATATTTACACATTTATAAATTTATATTATAATTATATTTTATTTTTTTATGAATTATAACTTTATTTTATAACCAGGTTCACCTAATCCTGCTAATTGTTACGGTCAATTATTAAAACTCAAGTTGACCCAATACTTAGTTACGTACGCATTGGCTATAGAACAGACATAACACAAGTGTCATTTGAATCAGATTAGCAACTATGCAAGCACAAATTACAAAATAATGTAAATAATTAAAATTTATTATTATAATAAATTAGAAATTGCGCATTTTTATTTCTTGAGGGTTTTATTAGTAAAAGAAAGGAGAGAAGAAGGATAAGATAGATATTTAAAAATCAAATTTTAAAAATAGAAACAAATACATGCTAAAATTAAAGTTGCGCACAAATAAGAAAGTGTGCTTGAGGAATAAATTAATAATTAACTGTCTTCTAACTAAGCAATTTTTTTAGCTAACTATGCTAAGTTCTTTCTCTCTCTCTCTTGAATTTTTGATCACGCTTCCTCTAAAAAAAAGTTGATCATGGTAGCTTTAACTATTTTTAATTCCAATAAAAAATAATAATAATCACATTGCTATGCATAAAAAATAATGGTAAATGTATTAAAATTTTAGAATTCAGTAGACAATAGCAGAAAACATATTCAAATTTTAGCATATAAAAAAAACATAATCAATTTTTATTGGAGAACTGCACACGAACATCAGTTAATTACAAACAAGGAATAAAGTTTCGGACTGAAATGTACCTCTTTCACTTCTTCTTCGGTGATTCTACCATCTTCATTCTTGTCCACCCTATGAAGGTGATTAGGATTTAAATTAGACCCGGAGACCAGCAAAGTCAAATAAGGATCGCGTTTGAAATTAAAAGCAAAACTTCTCAGATGTTTATTTATTAGATACAAAATTCCTAAATAAGAAAAAAAGAAGTTCCCAAAAATATATATTTACAAAATAAATGTAAAATAAATATAGAAATGGAATTATCATTATCTCAATTAATTAAAATATTTCATAAGCTTGGATCATTTTAAATTTAGAATGACACAATGTTATTTTTTTCACCTAGCAAATTTTCTCATAAAATTGGAAAATCCTTCATTACTGAAGCAAATTAGTAATTTTTTATTTAAATTATAAGTATGTTTCACTAAAAGATTTTCTCTTCAAGCTGATTAGAATTACTATATGGGACAAAATTCTCCATGAAAAAGTGGTGTTTGTTTAGAACATGGAAAATTACTGGTGTTTATTAATGATAAGAATAAATAACGTGAAAGATTAGTCTTATATTTTTTTTTTGTTACGTGAAAGATCAGTTGTAACTAATTGGATTACATTTTAATTTTAATATAATATTTAATCAACCAACGCTTACATGTCGAAGAAGATCTGGAGGCGCGAATCAAAGCTTTGATCAGTAATTTGCGACCAGAATTCTTTAAGCTCGTCTCTGCTTATCTTCTCAAGCTTCAGTCTTCGTCTACGACTCAGAGCATCGAATAGTTCCAGAGCGAACTCCTTAGAGTCCTTCATCCCTTCAAATAAAACATAAAAACTCTTGAAGCAAAACCTCAAACAAACAGCGAAAATGCAAACACGTGCAACGCAATAATCCGAAATAGAATTTTGAAAAGGAATCTGACCTATGCATTGCGCAAAATCGGTGCGATAAAGAAAACCGTCCTTGGCAAGACTATCGAAATTGCTCTGCACCTCGTTCCAGGCATCAACGCCATTGGATTTACTGCTAATGAATTTGAGTCCACGGAGCGCTTTCTTAGTACCGGAACGATTGCGTTCAAGCTGAGCGCGCTGCTTCCTAAGATCTCGATCCACCAACGCCGTTTCAGGTCCGCCTTGGCTCCACGAGAACCGCCGCAGCTCCGCCTTGAGCTCCTGCGAGAACTGCCTCGCCTTCGCCACCGCCTCGGCTTTCAGCTCCTGCGAGAACTGCCGCCACCGGTTGGGAGAGCTCCTCCTGATCGACGGCGACCATGCGGCGGACGCCGGAGTTTCGCTTCCGCTTGCGGCGACACCGTCGTCGACGCTAATGATGGTCACCGGCTCAACGCCGCGGAGAACGATGGTGTGATCGTCTTGAACATCGAGAGTGACCTCAACGTACTCGTCGGCGACGGAATTGGAGTCCGTTCCCGGCGAAGTGCCGGCGCTGACGAATGACATCTCCGGCACCGTATCGGACGCCCAGCGGCGTTCGTGCGTGGGAGCACCGTTCATTGATTAAAGTAACAAAAGAGAAGAATGTGTGTAGGTTTAGGTTTTAAACTTGTAATTTTATATATGGAGATATTTTAATCTTATAAGAGAAAAGGAGGCGCGTGATATGAGTTTGTTATATAATGTGATTCGGTGAGCTGTGCTAACGTGCGCGGGAAGTTATGTGGATTGGGTTGGAGAGTGGAGAGTGGAGAGTGGAGAGTGGAGAGAGCAGAGTTCATTAATGTAAAGGTGTGAGGTGGGAGCAGGCGCTGAGAACCAACAAGTGAACAGAGTTCATCAGAGAAAAGAAACAAAAAAGGTTGACCAAAGAAAAGGACAATGGGTTTGCTTTTGCAGCATAAACCAAATGAAATTTCGCTTCGTTGGGACTTTCTATTTTCCGAATGGGAAGAACGAAGATACGTGGAATAGTGCTGATTATAGTCTATTCTATGATCTATAATATCAATAAATGGTTTTATTGTTATGTATTGTGCGTGTAGAATGAATGGAAAATAGAGAAGAATGAAAAAACAGGAAATGAGCCATGTGTTTATTTTGCATTCATCTGAGGAAGAGGGAGAGAGAGAGTGTGTGGAAGAGTGGTGGGGCCAGAAAAGGAAAGGCAGTGGGCCCCAGGATTGCAGAGTCTCCGAAGTCGACGGCATCAATGGCCGAGTAAACTCCACTCACGGTTGTCGCGATCACTCGTTACGTTTTTTCGTTTTTTTTTTTTTTCTTTAAACAAATAGCTATTTTATTTTTAGTTTTTAAAGACGGGTTAAAGTCACGTGACACACAGACCAATAATTTTCAAATTTCAGGATTAATTCACATGACATTTTTCTTTTATCCTCTTACAAATTAATACATTGAGTTAAAACATAAAACAAATCATTTAATATTATTTTCAACACAGGATTTAATTGTGCTTTAAATTACAGGATTATTTTAATTTTAGTCCTATGGCCAGATGTTTTAAATTTTAGCTATATCCTTTAATATTTTGGGACACAGCGGATAAGAAGAAAGTGTTTCACTTGACTTTTATTAAGATATTTTTTATTCACTGATTCTCCAAATAATAGTTCTGGTTCTGTGTGTGATCTTTATTTTTAAGGATATATCTTTGAATAAATTAAATCATATATTTCTCAAAACGACCAAATTTAGTTTTCTAGTAAACCGACAAGTCTACCTTTTATTGAATTTTTTACCAAAATATTATTTTTTTATTTTTAAATTACAAGATTAACAACTGTGCAGATTTATTTACCACACTAGAACCATTTACTGTGCATGCTCAGAATTCGGCTCCCGGGAAACCGAATTTTGAGCTTCAAAGTGTAATTTTTTTTGTTTTTTCAACTCGGAATTCGGTTCCCGGGGAACCGAATTCTGAGTCAGGAACCGAATTCTGAGTTGGTTTTATATATTTTTTTTTTTCGTGTTTGTAGGAAAAATTTGGACAGATTTTGGAAGTGGAACGGCCCGTTCCGAAATAAGAACGGGCCGTTCCGCTTAAGGCCACATAGTCATTTTTTTGAAATTGAAACGGGCCAAGAACGGGCCGTTCTAGAGTTAAGAACGGCCCGTTCTTGGCCTATTTCAATTTCAAAAAATTCACTCTGTGGCTTTAGGCAGAACGGCTCGTTCTGCTTTCGGAACGGGCCATTCCACTTCCAAAATCTGCCCAAATTTCCCTCACAAACATGAAAAAAAAAATATATATGTATATATATAACCAACTCAGAATTCGGTTCCCCAGGAACCGAATTCTAAGCTTGCACAGTAAATGGTTATAGTGTGGTAAATAAACTTGCACAGTTGTTAATCTTGTAACTTTTTAAAAAAAAAATAATATTTTGGTAAAAAAATCCCTTTTATTCATAACACTAAGATTTTAATTCGTTAAATACACATATTAAATGTTTATATATAGTTAAAATCTAAAATAAATTATATATATAAATATAATATATGTATACAATAATATAATGTTTGAATGCACAAAATATGTTTAATATATAAATTATATTTTAAATTTATGATAGTAAAATTGTAGAAAAAAAATATTTTTCTTTTTTGATATGTAAAATTTAATTCATAAATAATTATGATAAATAAAAATTAAATGAAATTATATAAAATTAAAAGAATTTTTAAAATATGTAAAATTAATTCATAAATAATTATAATAAATAAAATTTGAATTAGATATAAAGTTAAAAAATCTTAAGAACTCTATCATTAAAAAAAGTTTTTAAGAATGTTTTTATACAAAATAGTCATTTGTATTTTATATGTAGAAATTGATTTATGACAAATTAAAAATATGAAATAATTTCAAAAGTTAAAAAGATGACTGTAAACTTATAAATTTTAAAGGATTTAGTAGAATGTAAAATTATGGTTTGAAAAGAGGGTAAGTTTGAGATTTTTTAATTTGGATTAAAATTGTTATTTTGTTTTGAAGCTTTAAGTGAGAGAATATTAAAAATTATTTGATCCATTTAACTTGTGAAAATTTAAAATAAAATGAAAAATTGAAAGTTTTAAGTAAAAGAAAAAGCGAAAGCAGAATTGAATTATAATAATAAAAAAAATAGAGATAATATCCTTAAAAAAATTAGATTCAAAATCATACATGTATAATAGATGAATAAAAAGTACAACTAACCCTTTTTTTTATATATATAAGAATTTGTCAATATATTTGTTACTTTCACAAATTATTATGATATATTTATATATTATTAAAGGTATAATAGTTTTTTTTTTTAAATCACTAAAATTATACGGCTTATGTCCACATAATTTCTATAAAAAAAAATTAGAATTCAAACATTTTTATTAGTCTTTAATAAATTTGATGACATGAATAAAGAACATCATGTTTTTAATGACTTTTAATGTCAATTATATATTTTTAGTGATTTTTATTTTACTTTGAGTTTTTTTTAGTCCATAAGTAATATCTATTTTTTCTCTTTTGCATATTATTATAGTATGCACTTTATTAGTTTTTTTTTTCTTTTATTTTTATGCTTGTAATGTTGAATTTTTTGTTTATTTTTTTGTATTCTATGTAGATGGTATATTGATGGTGATAAAGTTTAACAGTGACTTACAAGAACATGCATAGTTGAGACAAGATTGGAGTATTTTTTTTTTCTTATATCCTATCCTTTATGAAAACTTTACCATAAAAACTATTTTATTACTCTTATAATTTAATATATTTTTCATATTAACTCTATTACTCTTATGATTTAATATATTTTTCATATTAACTTTATGTAAATTGCATTATTAATAGATATTCAATTGTTTATCCTTTAGTATTCAATTCTTATCTCATATTACTCTCATCGTTAAAAGAGATGAAAGTGATATTTTCTTTTTTTATTTTTATTATCTTCTCACATATATTTTGAGATTTAATTACTCTTTTTACATGATAAAATTGAGAGACGTATTTTTTTTGTGACATTGAGTTTTAAGCATGTTGTTTAAGTGTTGCATGAGATTGACGAATGAAAAATTAAAAGTTAAAAAAAATTATATAATTAATATTATGTGTATTTTGTTAATTTTTAACTTTTTAATAAAAATTTATATTCAATACTTTTTATTTTTGCATTTTTTTCAAAATGATATGTATATGTATGTATGTATGAGAGATATTAATATAAATAATTTTTTAATAAAAATATATTTTAATTTGTAATATAAATAAATAAATAAAATAATGTAGACATTAGATCGATAAAAATACCTATTAAAGTAAGTAAGAATTTAGGTTAAATTTTACTATTAAAGTAAAAAATAATAAATATATCTAAATTTTATATGGAAAAAAATGGCTCGTTAAATTAAAATTATGAATTCAAAGTAAAATATTTAATTTTTTTAACTATCTAAATTACATCACACAACGTCGATATTTAAATTTAAAATCTTGTACAGCCAAATCTAAAAATATTATATAGTAAATTAAATTATATGATCAAGTCATAATTTATTATGACTGACATATCTAGAGGTGGATAGCTACCTTGTCAAATCAACCGAAATACTAACAGCTGTATGTATTGACTTGTATTGACTGTGAGTAACAAGATATATATGATATTAAAAATAAAAAATAACAAAACTTTAACTTAATGAAGATTTGTGAATAGAACGATGCTACACTATAATCGTATATTAAAATATTAATATTTTTCTTTAATAAAATTATTATAAAATATTTATTTAATTTAATATTTTATAATTTAAATTAATATTTTAATTATTTGGAATGATTTCGAAACATCGTTTCGAACAATCTATTATTTCCTTTTGTAAATAGAATAATACTAAAGCTTTCGAATACGCATTCGAAGCATCGTTCGAAACATTAAATATTAATATTTTTTAATAAATTTATTATAAACTAATTATTAATTTAATATTTTATAATTTAAATTAATATTTTAATAATTCGGAATGATTTTAAAATATAATTTTAGATAACTTATCAAATCCTTTTAAGCTTTATGTGGTATTCGTATGTGGGCAATGCCGAAATATTTGTGTATAAAGCGACCAATCAAGTAAAGTACAAAGTTAGAGACTTTGACCCTGATCGAATATTAGAAGGTTTTAGTATTTGGAAGGTAGTTGATTGACTAATCTTATAGGTAACTTAGTGTTTCAAGTTAATGTTGTGACAAACTTATACCCAAGTTGTTATAACTTGAATAAACTTCCTAATTTAAGTAACAAAACCTAAAAAAATCAAATTGAGTTGTTAAATAGGTTCTCTAAGATGCCTGATAGCTGACCTGATTGAGATAGGTCACACCTTGTGATTCAGTAAGGTCTAATCATTTAAAATGTTCACCTTTATTGTAAGAGATTTTCATAATTGACATATGTGACAATGCGTTAGTTGTATATTATTGTTGCGTTGCTTATGATGTGAGATGAAGTAGGTATGTTACTCAAAATTGTGAATTGTATGAGTATGTTGGTTGATGAGTAGTATGTTGTTTTTCTACAAAGTTAACTATGCTATAATTGTTGAAAGTTGTTGAATTGTGTATTTATGTTGATTCTTTTCGCATGCTTGCTCTTCTTCTCCTTGTGGTTGGACTTATTATAATCATACTTGATATAAAAATATGATAGAATTAGTGGAATAACTTATAAGATGGTGGAGTATGTTTTGTTGTGGTAGGCTTTTGGTGATGTCACTTTAACTTGACATGTTAATTGCTTAGTCGCTTAACTAACGAATAGGATTAATGTTATGTCTATTTTGTGTAGAGAGTATGTTTGTACATGATATGTTATTTAAATTTTATTTCTTATACGTATATCTATATGCATGATATACATACATGCTAAATGATA